CATTGCTGGGCTTGACGTCGCTGTGAATAACGGTAGGGCTGCACCCCGTGTGGAGGAATTCGAGCGCTCTCGCCACGTCGACAATGAAATTGAACCGTCTCTCCAACTCAAAGCCTCCATCCCCAAATTGCCCTCACCGAACAGCCATTCCTGGAGGCTCTTGTTGCGCATGTACTCGTAGACCAACAATCGGTGCTTTTTTCGATGCAGTAGCCCAAGAGAGTGACGAGGAAGGGGAATTTGAGGCCGTCGAGGATCTGGATCTCGTTCTGGAACTCGCACTCGGAGTTGAGGCGCTTGACGTCGTAGAGCTTGTCGTCCATGTGCAGTAAAGATTATGTGGTGGAGGCAATATAATAGAGGGTCGGTTCATGGTTCTGGTTAAGGGTTAGGTTGGCTGGATGGTGTGGCGGGTCGGATCTCAGTATTTTAGGGTTAAATAGGGCTGATTAGATGATTCCGTCTGCTACGTCAGCACATAACGGAATTCGTTAACAGAGATGGACAGTTACTAACGGAGAGTGACCAAACATGAACGTTTTCACTAAACTTAGTGATCACTAACGGAATTAAATATTTCGAGTGACCAAACATGAACGTTTTTAGTATTCTCAGTGACCAACATTTCAATTAACCCGATTTGCCCTTTCATCTTCCAACAATGAACATCTCTATTCCCTCATCTTTATCTACTGTCTTGGAAACAGTTCTTATACTTTCCAGAAAGTAATAATTATTTATGGTCGCCCTAATTCTATGGTCCAAGAAATCGTACCGGACACCGTATCGAAAAAGTCAACGGTAGGGTATTTTATGACAAAACCGTGGTTTAACCATTCATACCTTTAAATACCGTCTATCGGTTTAGCCTTCGATACTGGTATTTTGTGGTTGAATCGCCGGCCCTAATCTTTTTGCTCGTTGTTCTCTTCTCATCTTTTCTCTAATGGTTCCAATTTCCTTTCCCCCTTTTTTCCACCTTGGATGCGGTTAAAAGCAGATCCATCATCGTTATAATAGGCTCCCTCCAGCCTCCGCCGCTAGTCACCTTCATCTCGCCGCAGCTTTGCCATCAACTATTTATCTCTTCGATTACCCAGGTCAGTGATAGACCCCTGTTTTCAAGTACACCAAAACAGAGCAGCAGCAGCAGCAAAACAGGGGAAATCGGCACCGGCACGAACGTGTTGTCGAATGCAGTGTCTGTCTTAAATGACCCACAATCTATTGCAGACAGTCGCTGCCCTTCCCCAACCTCTCTTCGCCTCGTATATACCAGTACCTGAATGAAACGCGCTCTCCCAAACTAAGGGGTCGTTTGGAAGTTGCGAATGTTAAATCGTTGCATTGTAATGAATCATCATAATATAAATGCATGTATTGATACAATGGATGCATTTTAACAATACATTGTTTGGTTGTTGAGATTCTACTTTATACTTTGATTTACATAAAGTTACTTTTATGGGAAAATGTCACATTTACCCTCAACTTTTAGAATAAGATAAAAATTATTGGGGATATAAATGGAAAAAAAAGTTGACACAAATCTAAAATCAACAATCACAACAATCTCAACTTTTAGTTGAGATTGTATAATGCATCATTTTTGTGATCGTTGATGGGACCTACCTAAAACATTGCATGCATTGTTTAACACTTTGACACTTCCAAACATTGTATTGTGCACAATACATGTATTCAACAAACACAACTCTAACAATCACAACTTCCAAACAACCCCTGAAATCGCTTACCACAAATATCTGAATAAGTAATTCACGATTTTTTGCCGAATTTATCAAAAACCGCGTTTTGCAGGTTTAGAGCGGGATCGTGTAACCTCAACCCACGAATAGGATGACCTAAGTTTTGACAAAAAAAAAAAAAGATTTTCGTGTAGGCGACTTGGGCCCAATTACTGACCAAACGATAAGCCTTCACATCACTTTTATGTGGACCAATCAAAAATAGCGTTGCGAGTGGCCACACTTTTAAATGTGGTAATTGATCATGTGATAAACATACCTCAAAGCATTTTCGAAAGCCCAAAAACGAGCAGGAGAGTAAGTCATGGAAAAGCCCATATTTTAGACGTCAAACAATTGAGAATCTAAGAGCCCAATAAAGAAATATTCACACTGATAAGCCCAATACAATGCTCCCAACCGTGCATAGAAAAACGCCAAACGAAGGTTCAAGTCTAACCAACCAACCAGCCTCTCTCTCTCTCTCTCTCTCTCTCTGCTTCTTTAGCTTCTCCTTCTCTTTCTCTTTTAGGTTCTGTTTCTTTCTCTGTTTATACAGCAGACCCTTCTGCGTCTGTATTTGTCTCCCTTTATCTCTCTGTGCTCCCAGTTTTCTCGTATTTATGGATTTACCCACTGTAACTTCTTCTTCTCTCCACCTGTTCTAAATCCGCAAACAACTCTTCCACTTGGATCCGATTCTCCTCTTCTTGTGCTTCCTCTAATTTAGTTCTTCCTGTGATACAAGTGACTTCCTTTTTCTATATATGCATGTTAATGGCTTCCATCTCCTCTAGCCCACGCACAGTCGAAGAGATCTTCAAGGACTTCTCCGCCCGCCGCGCCGGCCTAGTCCGCGCTCTCACTCTCGGTACTCAAAACCAAAACCCTAATTTCCATTTTCCTATTTTCCTTCCTCCCATCCTCCATTGTTTTCTTCGACGCATGTGCTGATAATTTCCCACCTTTGCTTATGACTTTTTCTTTCTTCTTATTGCTGTTCTGGTTTCAGATGTGGATGATTTCTACTCGCAATGTGATCCAGGTTCGTGAAATTTCTCTATTTCTATCTCTGTTTATGGTGCAGTAGTGAATTGGGTCGAAGCAATTGGGGACTGGAGGGGCGAAGTTGGTTGCTTTTTGTTTCCCCAGAGATGGGTTTTGGATTTGTGTGTGGATTTGGGACGGCGAGCCGCTGACCAGAACTGAAGAGTTGGGATGAAGAGAAGTTGACTTCTTTTTTCAGTTTTTTCTTTTCCCTTTCTATTCTCCCTTGTTGGTTTGTGCATTGTATCTGGCTAATTATGTGTGTGATTAGATGTAGTTGGTATTGTGGAAGCCGCAATGTGGGAATGTGGGGATATGTGGATCTCTGGTTCTGGCTAGCTGATGAGTTGGCAATTACTATAATTTCTTGTTCTTTACCTCTTTGGGGGGGGTGTCCTATTTTGCTTTGTGCAGTGTGGTCTTTAGAGTTACTCTGGGCTGCATATTCCTTGCTGACTTGTCTGCCCAGTGAACTAATAATACAGTTTCTTGAAGCTGTTGCTCTTTTAGTTGGAGAACATTTCACATTGTGTGTTGCTGTTAGCCAGTGAACAATGTTGCTTCAAGCCCTGAACTCGGTTGTTTCTATGGATTTGAGCTAGGTGACGGAACCTAGATAAATATCTTGAGATGGTTAATTGCTTTGGCAATGGTTTGACTTGGTGCATGTGATGTTGTGATAGTTTGTTTTCCTGTAGTTTCTCCTAGTTTAAATGGGTGGTTGCTAAACGTGGCTGCATTTGATAATGTCAGAAAAGGAGAATTTGTGTTTATATGGACACCCAAATGAGTCATGGGAGGTGACTCTTCCAGCAGAGGAGGTTCCACCGGAGCTACCCGAGCCAGCTCTGGGCATCAATTTTGCAAGAGATGGGATGCAACGCAAAGATTGGCTCTCTCTTGTCGCTGTTCACAGCGACTGTTGGCTTCTCTCAGTGTCATTCTACTTTGGTGCCCGGCTTAATCGTAACGAGAGGTAAAATGCCCTTTCATGTTTTCTTCTGTTCTCTTACAGAGATAGTCTTCTCTTAATAGAAACACAAGTATCCTAGCTAGTTGAACCCATAAACTTTTCTTTATTGTTGAACACTGTCTTGCTTTTGGTTGAACAGAAAGCGGCTTTTCAGTATGATAAATGACCTGCCAAGCCTATTTGAAGTTGTAACTGGAAGGAAGCCAGTGAAAGACAAACCTAGTGTGGACAGTGGGAGTAAAGTTAGGAACAACGGGAAGGTAAAAACTTTCTTCTTCTCCTCATCTTAAGTTAGTCAACAACCCTCTTGGTTCCTCCTGGTTTTCCTTTTGCATCTGGCTCTGACCATCTTAGCTTGTCTTTGCCTTGCAGAGATCACTGGATGGACAGGCGAAAAACAATTCAAAGCTAATGGACGATAACGATGGAGATGAAGAAGATGAGCACGGGGAGACGATCTGCGGAAGCTGCGGAGGAACATACAACTCGGACGAGTTTTGGATTGGGTGTGATATCTGCGAAAGGTGGTACCATGGGAAATGCGTGAAGATCACACCAGCCAAGGCAGAGAGTATCAAGCATTACAAGTGCCCATCTTGCTGCACGAAGAAGGGAAGGCAACAGTAGTAGTGAAGCCCACGTAATAACTATATGTTAAGTAGGGAAAACACCAACAACACTCTCTCTTTTGGAGCCAAGTGAAGGAAGGAACGAAACCGAACGAGGCTTTTTTGCTTTTGCAAGGAGTTGTGGTACACACACTTAGGGTAAAAAAAAAATGTCCTTTCTTCTGTTTCTTCTCTGTGGGTAGGGTATCTTTTGATCTTGGCCCCTCTACGGCATATCAGGTGTGTTAATTTAGTTTGCTCTGTTTGAACTCTGATTTTGAAGTCGCCTCGCCTCCTTGAGTGTAATGCAAGGGTAGCTCCCCATTTTCCTTGCATCGTGGCTTATATTTCATATTGTATGTGGCCTTGGGGTTTTTTTTTTTTTTTTTTGGGGAGTGAAAGGCCTTGGGTTGTTAACTTGTTGGAAATGTGAATTTCGATCTGCCTGTGTGGCCGAATCTGTCCTGATTTGTTCGTTGTTCGAGTACTTCTCAGTTCATTGGTTTGATCGTGAAAACCTCGTATCAGAGCGTTAATTGAGAGGTAGTTTTCAACGATATTAAACAGTTGAATCACAATTATGCACAAAATAATTTATTACTAACTTCTTTGATACAACTTCTTGTGCGATTTTACAATTTCTTACCTTGCTAGCAATTAGCATGGATGTAGTAGAATGGGATCTTTATCTTCCTTTCGTCCTTCCCTGTTATTAACTTCTTTTTATTTTTTGTCATAAATAGATTGTAAATCGATAGGAGGTTACAAGATTGAAATGTAAAAGTGACAGTCCATACTAATTGATCCGCCGATCTAATTACATTCTTTTTTCTAATTACATATCAGAATAGGACTCTATTTAATTAGTCTCCATTCAAATATTACTCAATTTGACTCGTGCTAATGTCGAACATTGGTATATGAGAACCTGCCATGCTCCATTTCTAGTTACCTCAAAACTTACCCGCCTGGTAAAAGCACGAGCTACGACCCTAGCGTCAATCTTCTGCATACCACACAGCATTTCTGCTCGCCAACCATTCCCTTGCCAACCCCTGGTAAATTGTCCCTCAATTCCCATCCACAGCCTTACGTTCCCGGCTACTTCGTGGCTGCTGGCTCGGGAGGAAAGCTGACTCCGCCAGGTCAATCGCCCGAGCCAACCCTGCGGCTTTATTCTGACACTCGATGTGCTCGTCCTCGGGGATGCTGTCGGCCACGATTCCAGCGCCGGCCTGGAGATACGCTACCCACTGCTGCCGATGTGCGGTGTCTTGGTACGAGTACATGGTGTCGTACCTCGCTCCGGTGGGGAACACCATCGTCCTGAGAGCCAGAGCCACGTCCATGTCCCCCATGAACGAAATCCCACCGAAACCTCCGCTGTAGGGCCCACGCTTCTTCGCCTCCATGGTGTCTATCAGCTCCATGGCTCTCACTTTCGGAGCTCCGCTCACCGTGCCCACCGGCAGAGCTGCCCGGAGTACGTCCCAGCAGGTATGGTCGTGCCTCAACTCCCCTGTCACCTAGAAAACAAACCAAAATCCTGATAGATAAAACTATGCTGAAACATTCTGATATCGTGAGTCGGAAACAGTTTGTTAATGCGGGTTTTACCGTTGAGCTTATGTGCATGACATGGGAGTACCGCTCGATCTCCATTAGTTTCTCGACCTTGACTGAGCCATACTGCGAGACCTGTATATGGGGAAAAAACAAGAGGGAAGGATTAGAAGAAAGAAAAAGTCTTTCCTCGGAAGTGAGGTTTGGGGATTTGCATTCCATATTAAGGGGGTGGTTCAACCTTTCCGACATCGTTTCTACCCAAGTCGACGAGCATAATGTGTTCGGCGCATTGCTTTGGGTCGTCGAGGAGCTGCTTCGCCAGGACTTCGTCTTCCTCTGCTGTTTTCCCTCTTTTGATGGTTCCGGCAAGTGGCCGATTTACTACCTTGTTCTGTGAAAAATACAGATTGTATTGAAACCTCGTTATCTCATTCACAAAACTTAGAATTGTGGACGGAGAAATTTCTTACAGTGGGAAATTAAAAGTTACCTGTTTCACCCGCGTGAGAATTTCAGGGCTGGAGGCAACCAAAATGCACCCTCTTGCCTGTGAGATAAAGAGGTTAAATTTGAGTTGAAGTTCAAGGCAGTTAGAGGGTTACCAGCAGAAGACAGGTAAAAGAATGTCATATTCTATACCTGCACGTAAGCCATGTAAGGACTGGGATTCACAACTCTCAAAGCTCGGTAGACCTCGAATGGATCGGCAAACGTTCGACGTTCAAACCTCTGACTCAAAACCACCTGGAAAATGTCCCCAGCCAGGATGTGCTCTTTTGCTTTCAGTACAGCGTCCTTGTACTCTTGACTTGTCATGCTTGACTTCGTTAATGAAGGACCGAATTTGCTCGTTTGTACATTCACGAACCCAGGAGACAGCTTCGGACTACCAATTGAGCATCAGACAAAGTTTCAGGAGAAGTTCATGGTTCAGCAACAGTATAAATCAGGACTAGTAAAAGTGCAGGAATGGATGGTAAAAGTTAAAATGAATAAACGAGTGGACCTACGGGTCAATGTCCTGCACCCTGGATACAAGTGTTTCCAGACGTTTCATTCCATCGGCATAAGCACTTTCTGCAGATGAGTACTGGTCTGTATGAACCCAGTGGATCACGTGTACTTTCTGAATTTTACAAAGACCAATAACCACGTAACGTGAGGCTCCTTTCAATGCAGTTCTTTGCAATGTAAACTAACAATCCAGCTTGCGAAAAATACAATAGACAGCTATAGAAGGTTACCTTCTCAACATGATCAAAGACAATAACATCATCATAGAGACCGATATGTATGTCGGGAAGGTTTAGATCATCCTCAGGAGCATTTGCAAATGGCAGCTTCTTCTTCTCCGCATATCGAATCGTGTCATACGAGAAGAAACCAACCCACCCACCTGCAGTAACAGCACAATCACTGGCTTAGACAGGAATGGCAAGCCAGTAATAGCAGATCACTTGATCCTAGAAAACACACTTTCGCTCACCGCAAAATGCTGCAGGGAGATTGCCCACCAGCTGCGGCTTCCAACCTTCTGAGATGGTTCTGGGAATCGTCATTGGATCTTCAGCAGTTTGTTCAGTGAGCAAGCCACGTTCATGGTCCATGATGGTAACTTCATTCTCTTTCGCCACAATTTCAACGGCAGGCTGGGCGCCGACCACACTATACCTCCCCTGATCCCCCATTCAATCCAAGGTAAAATTAGGAGCAGTTTCTAACAGGGGGGAAAAAACACAGAGAGCAAGAGAGGATGGGGAGAAATTCATCACTCACCACGCGTGAAACACGAAAACCTGGCTCAACGGATTCAAAGAGAAAGCTCGGTGCTTCCCTATCGTCTTCTCGCACCAGACACCGATAAGCCGTGACTGGAGTTAGCTGGTCTGAGAATATCTGCCTCTGCAGTGGGATCAAATTCCCCTTTTTAGCTGCTTCCATGAACTCTGCTGGCTCTACAGCTACAAACATTGGAGACATGAAAAAAACAGAAAACACCCGCTTCAGAACAATGTTATTCTGCGTTAAACGACGTCGTTTCATTCCCGATTAGGAAAGCATGAGAAAAGCGAACTGTGGTGGGACTTTGTCTAATTCTGTTTTCGTCATTTTGTGCGCTTTTCTCAGCAACCAAACAAGCAAACAAGAAAATATTCAAAATAAGCACCAAGCAAGCGACGACAAATTGAGGGACGGATGTGCCCTAAGGCACAGCACATGCAAACTAAATCGCAGAGCTCACAATCGCAAATCGGAATCAATTACCTATCGAAGAACTGGTACCCGAGGCCGCGACGCATTTGATTCTCAGGACGGAAGAGAACGACGCCGACCTCGGCCTCCGCAGCGAAATGCCGGCCACGGGAAACGCTAACGGAGGAATCAGGCAGTGACCGAGGCTCGCCGGTGACAGCCGGTTGTGAGGTGCTACTCCAAAGCTCTGCATTACTGTTCCAGCCGATGAGAGCTTGATTTAATTCGATTAGGTTCTCTCCGATTAGAGTCCCTCAATCGCTCGCCGTCTCTCTGCAACTGAACAGCTTAAGTTTTCTCTGTTTACTGGCTGCCGGCTGCTACAGAGCAACGGCTATTTATAGCTGCGGTGGCGAAAAGGGGGGAAGAATCTGACGGAGGGTAGCAGTGGAAATCGGACTTTTTATTACGGTGACGCAACGCGACGGCTGTTGTCCATATCAGAACCTTTTTCAGTTGTGAGAGGGTTTTCCGAATTTGCCCTTGCGGTTATCAACGTTCGTGTGCTCCTCGTTTAGAGGTGACGATGACAAATTTTTAGTTACTAATTAGTGATCTTATGACTATTTTAGGATTGGTAAATACGGGTATTTAGGTAGTAATCCATCTATATGCTTTTGTCATCATTTGTCAATGGAATATAATGACGGAATATAACATATTCGGTTTATTTATTTTATTATTGTGTTCAGAATGAATTTGGAACACTGACTTGATTATTGAATTTGGAAGATGCATGACAAAATTGTATTCAAAATTGGGGATTTTGCGATATCTGAAATGTGGATTTTTTAAATTTAAAGAACCAAATGCATATGTTATCAAAATATTTATAAAGTGACAGAAACCTAACTATCAGGCTACAAAGTAGCGGGTTTGAAAAAAAATCCATATATATTGGATATGGTATTAAATCACACGCCAACCCCTAACATCCATGCAACTCCTAAGATAGTAAAAAGATGATTGTTGCCTATCTTTTTTAGGAAAGATGTACAATGTGCCTCTTTGTTGGGTCTAAATAGACACGTTGAATTTTCTTAATGTTCTTCTTGTTTATAATTGATGGTAACATTGTAATGTACTCTATAAACTAAGTTTCAATGCTCAAGTTAGGCTGAATTTGTGAGCGATAAGAAGGATAATAACTAAGATAGTAACACCTACTTTTGTTAATATCTTATATGAACCTTCTTTCTCACTTTTTGTTGAATACAGTTTTGTCATGCATCTTCCAAATTCAATAATCAAGTCAGTGTTCCAAATTCATTCCGAACACAAAGCGAGAAAGAAGGTTCATATAAAGAACCAAATGCATATGTTATCTAAATATTTATATAGTGACAGAAACCTAACTATCAGGCTACAAAGTAGCGGGTTTGAATTTAATCCATATATATTGGATATGGTATTAAATCTCACGCCCAACCCTAACATCCATGCAACTCCTAAGATAATAAAAAGATGATTGTTGCCTATCTTTTTTAGGCAAGATGTACAATGTGCCTTTTTGTTGGGTCTAAATAGGCACGTTGAGTTTTCTTAATGTTCTTCTTGTTTACAATTGATGGGTAACATTGTAATGTACTCTATAAATTAAGTTTCAATGCTCAAGTTAGGTTGAATTTGTGAGCGATGAGAAGGATAATACTAAGATAGTAACACCTAGTTTTGTTAATATCTTATATGAACCTCTTTCTCACTTTTTGTTAGAATACAGTTTTGTCATGCATCTTCCAAATTCAATAATCAAGTCAGTGTTCCAAATTTATTCCGAACACAAAGCGAGAAAGAAGGTTCATATAAAGAACCAAATGCATATGTTATCTAAATATTTATATAGTGACGGAAACCTAACTATCAGGCTACAAAGTAGCGGGTTTGAATTTAATCCATATATATTGGATATGGTATTAAATCTCACGCCCAACCCTAACATCCATGCAACTCCTAAGATAGTAAAAAGATGATTGTTGCCTATCTTTTGTAGGCAAGATGTACAATGTGCCTATTTGTTGGGTCTAAATAGGCACGTTGAGTTTTCTTAATGTTCTTCTTGTTTACAATTGATGGGTAACATTGTAACGTACTCTATAAATTAAGTTTCAATGCTAAGTTAGGCTGGAATTTGTGAGCGATAAGAAGGATAATAACTAAGATAGTAACACCTACTTTTGTTAATATCTTATATGAACCTTCTTTCTCGCTTTTTGTTAGTCAACTAAAATTATGTCACTTTGAAAGTCGGGATGCCCTCCCTCCTACCAGACGACAATAGTTAGACCAACCGCAAAGATAAACAAGTTCGTTGTTAAGAGAAGGTTATGTTGGATCTTATACATGCCCGGCATACCATTTGCTTGAAATGGCAACGATTGATATTGGGGGTCGTGAGGACTTGAACACATGACCTCAAGGCCAAACCATCTTTGATACCATGTCATAAACCAATTGGTCTCAATAACTCAATTTGTTGAGAGAAGGTTATGCTGGATCTTATACCACTTTTAACAACTATAAGCACACAACTTGCTTTTGAGAGCCTTACTTGGGCTTATCTCGGAAGGCCCATAAAGTAGCTCTCTCCCTTCATTGGTTTCGTTCTCTGTTTTTTACTTTTTTCTTTCCTTCTTTCCCTGCGGGTTAATTGCATGGTTGGTCACTGAGATTACAAAAAAAACGTTCATGTTTGGTCACTGGAAATATTTAAATCCAATCTTGGTCACTCAAATTAGTCAAATGGTTCAAGTTTGGTCACTCTCTGTCCAACTCCGTTAAATTTGTCTGATGTGGCAGTCAACTCTCAAAGTTGACCGTTAACTCAATGACGTGGCAATTAAAAAATAATAAATAAAATAAATTTTAATCTTCTACCATTTCAAACTCATATTCACAATAAAGTAAAATAAAAAAATATATTATAGTCACAAATTGAAAGAGTAGCTTTCTCCTCCTCCACCACATCCCTTCCCCGCAACCAAATCAACTTCCAATTCCTCATCCTAGCTCCGCCCCTGCCGCTGTCCCTGCCCGCTTTCCGCCTACTGCACCGACCCTTCGATTGCTCGCGACAGCGCAGGTGAGATCTCGAAGCTACGGTGACTACTGGCCATCAAATAATCGACCGAAACAACATCATCCCCTGTTATGTCGTCGTTCCAGGATCTACATCGAACCTTCCATATACAAAATCAGGGCTCAACATCCCTCGCTCGCTGTGACCCACTATTTCGTCAAGATGAAGGGATATGGGAATAGATACGACCTCCAGCCGCTTCTGTGACCGTTGTCATAGGATCCAAGCAGCGACAACTGTTTTTTTATTACACAGAGGTAAGGACGAGAAGTTTTTGGACGAAGAAGTCATGTTCCATGCCGCGAGGTCCAGATTCCTCTGACTGAACGAGGGATTTGGTCGAGGGAAACGAGATTTGGAGGGTTCGCAGCCGTCATAATCCAATGCCCTCATTTTCCACTACCATTTGGTTCTGCAATTGGTTCCATCAATTACGCTGCTTCGTTTAGCAATTTCGCCTGTAATTCGTTCCATAGGTCAAAGGAGGTGATGGGAGAAGATGAGGGTGAAGTATATATGTTTGACTCAAACAGTTGAAGAAGACAAGGGGAAAGGTCGAGAGAAGAGGAGACAAGAAGGGTCTTGGTTCGCTGGGAGGAATTCGTCTGACGAGGATGAAGTATACCCTTCGATTGCTCGCGACAGTGTAGGTGATTATGATCGGGGAGCGGCAGGGACGGAGTTAGGGATGGGAATTGGGAGATGGTTTAGTTGTGGAGAAGGGATGTGGTGGCGGAGGAGGAAGCTACCCTTTCAATTTGTAACTATAATAATTTTTTGTTTTATTTATTTTACGTTATTGTGAAAATGAGTCGGAAATGGTAGAAGATTAAAATTTATTTTATTTTTTATTTTTTAATTGCCACGTCACCGTGTTAACGGTCAACTTTGAGGGTTGACTGCCACATCATACAAATTTAACGGAGTTGGCTGGATAGTGACCAAACTTGAACCATTTAACTAATTTGAGTGACCAAGATTGGATTTAAATATTTTCAGTGACCAAACATGAACGTTTTTTGTAATCTCAATGACCAACCATGCAATTAACCCCTTTCCCTGCAGTAACATTTTCATTTCACGACAAAAAGAGGTGCCAAGTTACAGGATCGCATCAGATGTTCGAGCAAGTTCTCAGTCACCACAGGAGAATATCAAGAAGAGATCAACAGAGCAAAGCAAACAGCGGCAAAGAGGACCAAGAAGACGACGAATCGCCAATTAGACATTATGCAAGCGCAAGAATATTTGGCTGCTGAAGAAAGCCTATGAGCTCTCTGTGTATCTGCTTTGTGATGCTGACGTTGGTCGCCCTCGTTGTCTTCTCCAGCCGGCAGCCGGGGCCGCCTCTATGCGTATACGCGCTCGCCGCTGCAGCGGTTGAAACCAGTAATTGACTACTAAATACATCTTTGACACCTGACCATGTCAGGATTAGAAGATGACTGTACGTATGAAAGAGGAATGGCACCTCTGCATCGTGTTCCCTTGGCTCTAGTCCCTGTCGATTATAACTATTTAGATATCTATCATTTCGATTCGGAATATCTTTGACACAAAAAAAAAAATTGTTCTCGGATTACACAACTTCGATCCTTGTAGACGACGGCAGTAAGAGAGATCCAATGTACCTTTGGGGGGGTTTGAGTAACAGACTAACAATGCCACTACCCACCTCACAAGAAACTAGTCATGGCTTCTTCTCTAAAAGGGATTGGGTATGGCAGGCATACCAACAGCCCCAGCACCAGAACTAACACGCCGAGGTAAATGTATTTGTCGTCAGGATCGGTGATCTCTTCCGAGATTGGGGCGATTGGACCTCTCTGCAAGAAGAATATCAAAACGACCCAGAAGAAGGCAATGTCGTTAAACAGTGAAGATAACCCGAGAAGGATGATCGAGGCAGCTGTGAAGCGAGACGAGGTCTGCAAGCGAACCAAAAAACAACAACCGTTAGGAAGGCCGAGTAAAGAAATGGGGGCAATCATTGATGCACCACTGTCTCTTCTTCTTTAATTTGTACCTTCCTTCCCCATATGGCAAAAGATATTCTTCCTCCATCAAGCTCTCCTGCAGGGATGCTGTTGATGGCATTTATTAGAAGTCCAGCCCATGCCCATATCACTAGGGGATTGATTGATATCGGACTACCCTCCTTCAGTGCATCTCCTAGGAGCAGTTTAGCTACAAAAGCAAACCGAGAGCTTCAACATAACATAATTGCATAAGTACTATTGTATATACATTGTGGTCGATGGAGAAGTGCTTACCAAGGCCGCCAACAAGAAATGATTCGTGAAAAACAGTAGGGTCCACAATGGTACCGATTCCATCGCTGGGCGGTAAGAAGAATCCGAGAAGAAGAAGGACAAAACCCAAGGAGAAGCCTGCTAAAGGGCCTGCAGCTGCAACCTTGAGAAGATCTTGGCGTTTGGAGACAATGTTCCTTATCCTTGTGATAGCACCAAAGGAACCTATCTGCCCATCGACACAGATCATTAGAGCCACGATACCTCTTAATGAAGAAATTATATAGAAAACTTTGATATATAAGTGGAAACGGTGGTGGCAAGAAGCGACAAGCCATATAAGAAGGAAAGAACACAAGGCAGGAAGTGGTTCCCACCATAGCATCAGGGTTCAAAATGCGTGCATATTACCTGCCAACTTGGGACAAAATATGGAACCCCAAGCATAATCCCAGCGTCTTTAGCAACGATTATGTGGGCCAACTCATGTACCCCGAGAATAAGTGCAGTGACAAGGGCTCCAGGAAGGCCATTGTACAATAACTCGGGATTGTCAACAGTTGATCTGCATCAGTCATACATGTGCAGGGATTTTCAATCAGTCAAGGCAAAAACGAAAGGTTTGGCTAATGCGCTTCATTTTCACAAGGAAAAGACTTGAAGAAAGACAGAGAAGTATAAAGATAGATAATTCCATACAGTACGTTGGACTGCAGTTGAGGTACATTTCTAAGAAGCAGAGTAAAAACTGTGACTAGTCCAAAAGCCCCTGCTGCAAACCATTCAGGTACCGCTGGAAAAGAACCAATAGTGTCATAATTAGGATGCAAAAGTTTCACAGAGTTCTTGCACAGAATACACAGTTGATCTTAAATGGCTAGTCGTTGCTTTTAAAGCTCTAAGTACCTGTTGTCTCTGGTTGCAGTGTCTTTCTTGGAACTACTACTGCAATTGGTTTATCATCCTCTGGATTAATGAGAAGGAAAAGTTTATACTCATTGCCAAATTTGGTCTGCAAGATGTGTGGAAAATGATTTAGAAGTCACTCATAGGGCATTCAAAAGCAAGCAAGCATATAAAGTTCATACGTGCAGTCTTTTTGTTAACTTATCCCAGCTTTTAGCAGCTTGCCCACGCAGGTTTCCTTTAAACAAGACTCCGCCCTGTAAAATAAAAATCAAAAGATTATGATCATTAACGTAGCGCTTCATACATAGCTAAAGTATTTGAATAACTGTGTCTAATTCCTATGGCACCTTAAATTCTTGTAGAAGGATTAATAGGTTATGAAGATAAACAACTACTGGTATCTTGAACATGAAAATTCATTAACGGTCCTGGAAAATGAACCAATAAACGTCATTCACTAACCTCATAGGGCTCCTGACTTGTGACAAAGAAAGTGTCAAACCCAAACACTTGATCCTTAAGTATGTCAACCGTTTCCTTTGGAATCCTGAATGACTCGTCTAGCTGTAGGGTAAGAATGGTGAATTAACCTTCCGCAGAAAATTCATCAATCGGGACAAGAGATGAAAACACTTCATATGCTTACCTTCAAGCCTGGTAGAGGGGAACCTGAAGTAACTTGGACATCCTCAACCTCCTACCAAAATAATAAGTTTACAATGAGAAAATGTTGCCATGATAAATCTTTCAGGAACTATAATTGGAAGAAGGACAATGTATACAGTTTGAACACGAATACGGGGTAATTTCAAGCAGATTGATGGAGGAAGTCCCATTGACTTCAAACAATAATGCAATGCTAGGTAGCAATTGCAACACTTGAATGCTGAATACAGATAAAGTACCACGGTTCCACCTTCAGCTTTGGCTTCCCCATTGACATTGTTGATTTGATTCATCATTATAGGCTGAGAATCAGGCTGGGGAACTTGTTCAGCCGGTGAATCGACTTCCGATTCCTCTCCCTCGCTTCCTGCAGGTGCATCATTTTCCTGAAGATAGATGATACTGATAGGCTCAGCATTCAACTATCAGGGTTTCCAGTGAGGAGCGAATGTCAATTAGTAGCTGAACCATTTTACCTTATCGTCATTGTTCTCAGGTTCAATCTGCGTCTCCGTCGCTCTACAAACTATCCTTCTTGTCTCATAGAGCCTATACTCGAATACGATAAACTATCTAATTACTGACCGGAAATGGAAATGAATTCATTCCGAAAAGCCATAATGAAGCTGAAGTTGAGCCTTACTTTGGAGCCAGGCAAAGCTTCAAATCTCTCGACCGATACCGTTTCAGCCGGCGGCAAGAAGCGACGAATGTTGCGGAGGATGGCGGGGAGCGAAGGTCGCAAAAACAAGAGCTGCAAATCGCCGGCGAGTAGAGCAGCAATGGACTACAATCACCGCGGAGAATCACTGAAGTGCTCATTTCTGTGTCTGCGAAAGAAGAGAACAGGACTCCTTTTCAATTAGCCGAATCGAAACCCTAGCTCTCCATACAAATTTCTCAAAATTAGGAGCTGTCTTCAGACTGGTGAAGATTCGCTGAGGTGATTCCAATCTCCACCGCCGCCGGCTTATCTGGTGATTTCTCAGGTGGGTGGAGCTAGCAGAGAAGGAGAAATCCTAAAGGAATTATCCGTTGATTCGTCCGTTGCCCGCCTAATGATATTTTCAGTCTTTCGAGGTATCTCGTCTAGCCGCTTACATTTTGCCGCGTGTTCAATAAAGTGTGTTTATTCAGCAACTTAAGGTACAATATACAATATAGTCCGGATACTGTGGTACAATGACACAAATATTGTCTATTTTTTAAAATTTACCACTAATATTGCGGATTAAAAAGTATTTACAAGTATATTGTGTTTTTGGATAAAGATGGACGCGGAGCCACCTGACGTAAGGCGGGGCCGCGGTTTTAAAAAATATACCCAGTTCGAGGCGTTGGCGCCCAAGACTGAGGTGGCACCGCCTTCACCCCTTTTTATTTTAAATCGACCGCCTCCCAATCATATCTTATCTTCTTCCTCCTCCTCCACACCACCCCCCAAACCCTCACCCGCTAGGGATGGCAAAAATATCCGTAACCGTGGATATCCACCCGAATTCGACCTAATCGGGTGGGTAAAACCCGAACCAGAAATATTTTTTGTGGGTACGGGTAAAACCCGAACCCGAATATTCCGGGTAATGGGTAGGCATGGTTATCTCACTATCCAACCCGAACCCGCCCGATTATACACATGCATATGTATTTTGTCTATAAATAATCATTATTTTTCCCTAGAATATTTTATATTTAGCATATAAATATAATATTTTCATGGAATTATGTTGTTTTAATTAATTTTCGTCATTCTAGTGAATTATTGTCGTACTTTTCCTCTTACGTAATGTGAAAATACGTGTGAATGTTAGCATATTGGTTGGAATTATAAGGAGAAATTATTACCCATGGATAACCGTGGATACCCGAAACCCGAACGGGTATGGGCATGGTTTTGATTTTCTACCCGTTTCTCGTGTGGGTACGGATATGGGTAAAACCCGAACTACATTGGGTAGGGTAACGGATATGCACTATCCGCCCCCGACCCGACCCATTGCCATCCCTATCACCCGCCGAACCAGAAGAGCCAGCTGTCGCACGCAGCCCCGGCGCAAGCACATACGCCGCCGAAGACTCAGGCGGTGGCGCCTGGGTCTGTCACACGCATCCCCGGCGCAAGCACAGACTCCGCTGCCGAAGACCATGCGCCGTCGTCGCAGAGCCAGGCGCCACAGCTGACAGAAGCGCCACCGCCCGACGGAGATGTCGTCCGACGAAGACGAACCAGTCGCCGGCAGAGGCAGGGGGAGAGGCCGGCGAGGTCGTGGAGTCGGCGACCGTTTTCGCAGTGAGAGTCTCGCCGGCAGCGGGGTTTTTTTTTTTAATTAATGTTTAGTGTTTTTTTAATTAATGTTTTTGTTGCTTTGTTTTTGCAGTTCCTAGGCTTATGGACCCTTATTCAATGAGACTACCGCCGGCAACAATTGATCCAGCTCCGGTCGATCCGGTACTTCTTTGGGGACATGGTCAACATCGTATCGACTCAGTTTGGGCAAACGAGGTAAGTATTTGCAAATTATTCGTGTAAAGTTAATTAGCTAATTAGATTATTTTAGTTGGTGAACTGAACTGTACTGAAATTAGAATAGGATTACGTACCAAATTTTTTGAAATTAGTATAATTTGATATTAGATTAGATAGATTAGAATTTATTAGGTGAAAATTAGAATTATTACGAATGAAATTGAATTAATATAAGTTTTGTGCACTATAGGCTGGTGATCGATCTTACCATGTTCGAGGAACGACCAATTTAGTGATGTACCATGAGCTTTATCGGCCATAACTCGAAGCGGCTGGCTTGTTTAGTGTCGTGCCCCTGGTCCCTATGAACTCCGATGCGAGTTTGATTATTGCGCTCGTAGAGCGGTGGCGACCCAAGCGTTTTTCTCCGGCTAACAAAATAAACAACCACACGGGTTAGATAAATTCATGACAAAATTACATGAAAATAAATAACAAAATTAAATGAAGAAGGCTTACCGACTCGAAATAGTTGCTTATACATAATTATGCTTTTAGTCTTCCTTTGCAATTATCTTGCATAGTGTCGCATGCACCACCTCCACTCCCAACCTCTTCCGATGTTATTCATGGCTTCATAGAGTCCTGCATGTCTATCTGAGATGATGCATACATCATTTCGATCAGTCAAACCCTGAACGTGACTTATGAACCATGGCCAAGTATCAGTATTCTCGCTCTCCACTATGGCAAATGCAATTGGAAAAATCTTCTTCCGGCCATGTAACACCCCAAATTTTGGGTTATAGTTCGACCGTAATACGTGATCGGTTGGGTTGACAGTGGCGTACTAAAAGTTGCAATCACGGATTAGTAGTAAGAATAATAATAATAAAGTAATTATTATTATTTTATTTAACAAAAATAGAAAAAGGCGGACCTGGGGCGTTGAGGGTTCGATCAACGAGGAGATCAACGTCCCGGGTCATCCAACCTAGGTCTAGGAACGTTCTAGAGGTAAGGGAACTCGATCCCTTTGAGTTAGAACGATCGATTTGGTGATTTTTCGTTAGGGTGAAATTCTGAGGTTTTAGCAACAGGCGTTTAGGCCTTTAGTGACAGAATTTGGGTGTGGTCACTAAAGCTGCTAGGAATTTCAAGAAACTTTTAAGATGGGCAGCAGTTATGCCCTTGAGAATCATGGTGAAGAGCCACCACGATAAGTTTAAGATGTTAGGGGGATGAATCGTTACGACTCCCCTAACTAAGTTTAAGTTTAAGGAAAGCCTAGATGGCTTCTCATACGTATGAGTTGGGCAACCGGACTAGCTAGTGAGAGATCCCCGTGTCAGTCAAGTATTTAAGTCAAGATTTGAGCTTTAAGAGAGGAGAGTAACTTCAACTCCCGAAGAATTTTATGAGTTAAGATTGTTAAGAATGGAAGCACAAAACGTCTTCCACTAGTAGAAGTTAAGTGTTTAGAGAAGAATACTAAAGTACTATAGATTTTAACGTAAGGGCGTAGACTGACCCCAACTCACTCACCAGATCGTAGAGGAGGAAATCCTAATCTGCCAGTTCGTGATCAGCAAGCTAGAGGAGCTCAACACCATCGTCGTTGAGAGATGTCGAGCCAGGCATCAGAGTAAGCATCGGAGAACTTTTTCAAGTTATTAAGACTTTATGGTTGAGAGTTAAAGATTGGAGATTCATTTCTTTTGGATGATTTAAGTTTTGCCCACGTGTTTAGGGCTTCAAATTGAGATATTAAGATATTTGAGTTTGGTATTTTATTTAAACTTGTGTTATTTGAGATTTTTAATTATACCCCAGGGTAGAGTTGTCTTTTTTTTTTCAAATTCAAAGAGGTGGGATGTTTCATTTTGGTATCGGAGCCGGTCTTCCTCTGTTTCTTGGTTCCCAAGAAATATTGGAATGTCGGTCTCGGATTTTTAAAGGTTTTGTTTTTAAAAGATTTCAAGACAAAGTTTGGCCAAACGAGTCAAGGATTTCTTTTAAGAATTTAGAATCTCCAGTCTACTCTAAACCATATCAAGGAAGAAATCACTGAGATCTAACGAAACCTGTGCGTCTACAGTGCTAGTAGGGATGGCAATGGGGCGGGTTTGCCTAAACCATCCCCATCCCCGCTTTCAAATATCTAAACCCATATCCGCCCCATACCCATCCGGGGGAAGGATTTGCAAACCCATCCCCATACCCGTGGGTTTCGGGTACCCATGGATAATACCCGCCCCGTACATCCTACATTATAATAGTTAAAATTTTACATACAAAAATTTCATTTATAATACTAAACGCACCTACTATTTCATAAAGTCGACAAAGAGACAATCATTCTTAATACTATCTAAGCATCTTATTCTAAAACATCCAATAATCCATAAAATAGAGTAACAATATAAGCCAAATCATTATTCTCTGACTTTGGTACATCTATTAGGTAATAAATAACTTACTAACATAATGTTGTAAACATGAGGGAAAAAGTCAAAGAATGAAGGAAGATTTGGAGGAAATGAATTATGTTTTGATTTGGGTGGTCACTCAATTGTATTTCTACTATTTATTTTCATGAGTTACCCTTGTTAGTAATGATAGATTACAATTTAATTAATGTACATTTTATATGTGAAGAAATGTTTTGGGGGGGGGGGGTATGGGTATGGGTCGGGGGATGCTAAACCCATAGCCGCCCCATACCCATCAAACTTTTTGCGGGTTCTACCCATACCCGCTCAATGCGGGGATTCCTCGCGTTGACTGGGTCGGGGGAGGTCGGATACCTGCGGCCATGGGTTTGATTGCCATCCCTAAGTGCAAGTGTTGGCCCGCACCCCACACCACCGGTGCCATTACTAGAGAGACGTCCACCAGACTATGTAGGGTTCCGGAAGAGAAAGCTGGAAGATTTTATGGGGGGGGGGGGGGGGGGGGGCGTTCAACAGACCCCATGGAAGTAGAGCAGTGGCTAGCTAAGGTCACTAGTACGCTGGTCGAGATGAGAGCTGATGATGAGGACAGAGTACTGCTGACAATGTCCTTGCTGTAGGACGATACATACAACTGGTGGACTACCCAGCCAGCTAGTCGAGAGGATCCACCGGCCATCACTTGGCCAGAGTTCGTGCAGTTGTTCAAAGAACACTTCATACCGGAGGCTTACCGGATCGGGAAGCATAGGGAATTTCTGTTGATCAGGCAGAAGTGGGGCAATGAAGGCAGGGAAAGCGTGACTGAGTACACGGCCAGGTTTGACAAGCTACTTACCTATGGAGGTCCTCAATTTCAAGATGTAGCAGCTCGACGCACCCATTACCCGGAGAGCCTGAAGCCTGCTTTTCGACGTCAGCTGAGTATACTGAATTGGAACAACAGGGAAGAGATTTATCAGGCGGCTCTTCGATTGGAGAGGGCGGATACAGCTCTGTATGAGGAGGAGATGCAACGAGAAGGGAACAAGAGAAAGGCTGCTAGCCTGTCTGAGGGGACAGGACAACCGAGTCAGCAGAGAAGGAGACCATCCCAGAGCTACTATGGGGCAACCCAGAGTCGGGTCGGCTCAACCAGATCAGGGCCGACCTACATTCCTCGGGACCCATGCAACCAGTGTGGGAGAACTCACCCGGGGGAGTGTAAGGTGCATCTGGGAGGCATCTGCTATCACTGCAACGAGCCAGGCCACTATGCCAGAGATTGCCCTAGGAGAGGAGGACAGGGAAGAGCCCAGTCCGAACAATCGGTCCGGGGCGGAGGAGGAAGAACTCAGACCGGACAGCAGTTTGGCAACCAGCCAAACCGGTCTTATCACCAGCAGGGAGGAAATGTAGGGCGGTTCAACCACAACGAGCGAGATCGAGGGAAAGGGTCTCAATCATCTGGGCAACCAAGACTGTTTGCCATGAGGAGAGAAGAAGATGACGCTGCACTCGAGGTGGTGACTAGTATGATCTCGCTTTACCACCAGCCCGCTTTTTGTATTATTTGATTCCGGTTCCACACACTCTTTCATTTCTACCAAGCTTGCTAGAACCTTAGGAGTCCCATTTGTGAGGTTGGG